TGCTAGAGTACACTTATAAAATTTTAAATTAAACATAAGTGAATTACATAATAAGCGTATTCATTTCAACTTTCACAGAACAAGGCAATACATAAGGAAAGTTTGTTTTAAAAAAGAAATCAATTTCAGTCCTCTAGAGAGATATTATAGACCTAATTATTAGAAACCAATTAGATGTTAAGAAAATTCACTTAATCCCAAATCTTTCAACAGATTTTACAAATTAGACCTATTAAATATTTTAAGAGTATTTAAATATTATGCTGAATCAAACAGAGAAATTTAAATAATTTAGAAGGATTCATTAAAGGTTTAATTTTACCCAACAGAATTCAACATTGGACTCTCTTTTAGTTTCATCAAGCACCAAGCAAGGTGGGAAGAGAACTAGATCTAAGAGAGTTGGGAAGCCTGGGTTCAGGTCTCATCACTGCTGTGTGACCTTGGACAGAGCTGTCATTTAAGCACTTTGAGTATTGGCTTATCTTTCCATATCAAAAGATCTTTTTAAAGAATGAAAGTGGGTGAAACTGCTTTGAAAACTGTAAGAAGGCAATCTCACTGCATGCGATTTATTACCACTATTACTCTATCGCCCTCCAGGCAATGGAGAGAGGACGTTAATCACAGGTCTGCCCACCCCGGCTGAGCAGATCACATCCCAATAGCTGCAGGCATGCCTCAATCAGGCCAGGCCACTGATGCTCTCCTCAGCAGGCTGTGCAAAGACATCCAGGTGCTTTTCTGGGTCTCCAGTCGGGTGCTCTTTTAAACAGAAAGAAAGTTAGACTCACTGGTTTGAGAAGCACAATTGGTAGTTCATGCTCTACGTACATTTAGTGCAGCTGCGGTACAAAAACACTCAGAAAATCGTCTCCTGATTTTAGGCATTGCTGGCAATTCTAGTCAGCCACGCACGTAGTTTAGAGTTTCTTTAACAATTCAGACAATGGCTGCGATGAACTTATCCTAAATTATTTCTCCATTGATCCCTTTTTGACCACAACGTTGGGGTGTTTGAATACAGGATGGTCCTTATCTTTTCTCCACCTTGTTTTCTTCCAAAAGAAAACACTTGTCTTCACTTGGTTAATCATCTCTATTAAAATTTTGTGCCTGTATCACCACCTATTCTCTCTTTCCTGCTTACCAAATTATCTTTTCTGCCATGTTTTCTCGATTTTATTTCAAAAACCCAACCCTTTCTCCTAAGAGTCATTCCTTTGTCACGGTTGGCAATTTCACCATATTTATCAACTCTATTTTTTTCCCCAGTAAACATCTGTCTTATTATGCCCATATGAAAACACTAGGCATACGCAAGACATGCCCCTACTTTCAACCTTACCTCTACTTTTCCACTTATTTTCTTTAGCCATTTGTCGGTACCTCCAAACTTATCTACTTGGGTGTTAACTGTCCTTGTACAGAAATCTTTCATCCTCTTTGAAAGAGTAACTGCCTCTGTGTTCACTATATTTACTCTCTACTTCTTATGCATCTCAATGCTGCTATTAATAACAATTTCCTAGAAACTGAAGACTTAATACTGGTTATATGATGATTAAGGATTATTGTGTGTGTGGGGGGGGTGTGTAATGGTAGTGTGGTTTTGCTTTTAAAAGTGAGACGTTACCACTTAAGTTGTGAAATATTTATAGATAAGATATAATTTCTGGGATTTGTTTTGAAAAACTATGAGAAAAGGTGGTGGCATCCCCCCATGGAGGGATTATACTCTTCCATCCACCCATTTCAATATTCTCCACAAGAAAAAGGCACAAAGATTTCCTCTTAACTGGCTACAGTCTGGGCTACTCTCATAAGATCTAATACATGACTTTTGCCATTTAAATGGTGCTACAAAACCCAATACCAAAATACAAAATTATTATATACTATGTTATATATATTAATACCTATCATTTACTATGTACTAGGCTACCGGGCACTGTTAAGGTGATTTACATAAATTATCTCATTTATTCTTCACAATAAACTTATCAGGTAGTTTTCACTGAAGTCTCAGAGAGGTTAAGAAACTTGCCCAGTATCATCAGGATAGAAATAAACACTTTGAATGTTCACCATCAGTTCCAAATACGAAGAAAATAATGATTCCCACAATAACTCAAAACACAATGCTCACATCCATAACGATGTACTTCATTTCCAAATTATAAGCTATCAAGTAGACTTGGCCAAAGACAAGGTTGAAATCAGTTTACATTTACCTAGTTAAGTCAATACTGGGTGGACTTACAAATTTTATTTCATTTGCATTCACAATAAAATCAAAATGCTAGCTGACTGTGCAAAGAGTCACTGTTTACAGCCACAACTGGAGGGAGAGAGGTAGGAAAGCTTAAAGGCAGCAGGTTTAGCTTTAAGGTGGTAGTTTCAGCCCTCTTAAAATGACCAATAACCATGTACAATTATGGGAAATCTGGCCCTAAAGACAATCATGATCAATCCTCTATAGATTAGGGCATTGAATCCTGAGTAGTTCACAAACACACACAAAATTTAGCGATTACTTTACATATTAGCTTTAAAAAATTTCATGCAATTGTGAGTTTTAATGCAGCACAGTTCCTTAAAATTGTCAATATTGTTTCCTTAATGGAACTAGTACATTCCTAAAGACACATGCATTTTTACAAATTCTTACTATTGGCTTCAACCGAAAAATTGAAGGCATTTTCCTCTGGAAAATATTTAAGTCCCAGAAAATAAAACTTCTTGAGAATGCCTACTTAAGATGAATTTTTTCTTCAGTTTGTGCAACCTGCTGGCTTTTAAAAAGGGTGAGTTTCTTTGGCGTGAAAGGAAAATACAGGAGACATACAAATCTTCACAGTTGTAAATGAACAAATGAGGGTACACACTTCCTGGAAGACAAATCTCACTAAGAGCATGTTTACTAAAAAACCTCAGTCGGGGGGACCAGAAAAGGCTATAAAACGTTTTTAAGAAATTTCAAATCAATTCACTGTGTAACAATTTCAGTAACAAATATCTTTATACAATCTATTTAAAAGCTAGGTCCTTCCCCTAGCATGTTAAATCATTTTATTTACAAAAACGTACATACAAAATCTGATAATTGAGGTATTAGAAAAGTGAGATATATTCATACATCAAAGAGGTACTCATGAATATCCATCATAACTGAAAATGAGCTTATTTCTCAGCATTATAAAAATGTTACATTACAACCCCAGCATTCTTTACATGTCTTTAATTAGTAGAAAATAGATTTTGGCACTTGGGCAGTCTGCGTTATTCCTGGGTCTTTTCATATGAAGATAAACACTGATTGCCATTAATAGAACCTGTGCTTTGAGCTCTTCCCAGCAGCGCTAACTGGCTGTCCCAAGCCGGGCACCGCCTGGGGCCAGGTGTTTCCCATCCCCACTCCTGCCCTTCTGATGAATTACCACTTACTAAATAAATGATCAGCTAGAATCAAGGATGACACACCATGGCCAGAGAACACAGCAAAATTAACCTGGCTCTCTCAGGAACAAAAATACCTGCCCTTGCATCAGCATTAATGATCTTCCAAAAAGAAGAGTAAATAATACACCTCCATGTTCCAGTATGACCACCGGTTAAACGAGAAATGACCAACCTCATTGAGAGGTGAAAAGATTTCAAATTCACCTAAAATAACAAATTAACTTTAACTTCGTAAAATGTTTTAATGCTAAAAAGCTATGGCAGTCTCCTCAGAAACCCATTTTTGGCAATTGAATCTCTGCATCTCTGCAACCCAAAGAACTTCCAAATAATAAAAACTAAGAGGGCTGCTTTTCTCAGAACGCCTATGTCTCAAGGCGGGGGCAGGGAGAGGTGGTGTCAGCCATTGTAGTAATAATGAGATTGATTGTCAACATAAACAGTACAGCTACCCTCTTTTTGCTCAGAGACAATTTTTAATCATAATCCTATTTCATATTTCAATAAATTAGTATGGTCTTAAAAATCCTATTCAAAAAATGCTTTCCTCAGTTATTACTGCTTAAATATTATCTAAAGCTATGCTGCCCAATACAGTAGCCACTAACCACATGTGGCTATTTAAATTTCAATTAAAGTTAAAAATTCAGTTCTTCAAATCATACTAGCCATTCTTCAGGGACTCAGTAGCTACATGTGGCTATCGGCTACCACAGTGGAGAGCATAAAGAACATTTCTTTCATAAAAAGTGCTACTGGATAGCACTGATCCGAAGAAAGTGCAGTGTGCTATGTGCTCGTGCGATTTTTCAAACTCATTTTTTAAAGTATCACTATCTCTGGGCTACAGGTTAACAGTGATCTCTGTTCATAGGTGTGAAAGACCAGTACCAATCTTCTGGTCCTCAGAATTTATGAAGTATTTCGAGTTCCATATAAGGCCCAAGTAAAACATGAACTCAGCAAATTCACAACATGACATAAAAGAACAAAGTGAAGATTCGGCATGCACGATGAAAGTAATTTCGCAGTCATATGACTAAAACAGACCTCTTCCTTCCACTGGCATCCATAAACCTTTAAATACAAAAGCATCCCTAACTACCATTTAAAGCTTCTCACAAGAACGGGGCAAAAAGCCCTTTAGATATTGCTCTGGTGTGTTAGCAAGGGGAAAAAAAGCATTACTTAAGTACAAAAAAAAACATAGTAAATTTTAAAAACTGCCTTAGAAATTAATTGCTATGGAACAAGGACAGAAACCCCCCACAAGTTTTGGTTTAATGTATGCAAAAATGCTCTCCTTTGTATTGATATCTGACACGAGTTGACTAACTTTGAATACTTTTAGGGAAATCAAGTTCATGCTGTTATTTTCAAATTTGCCAGAACACAAAGTAGAGAGAGAACAATTGCATACAGATCACTTCTTCCAAATAAGTCTTGGATGAGGCAGAAAGTGGGGAACAAAATAGATTGCTTGGGTTTTTTTCTTAGTAGGTAAAACAACTCAATCATAAAATGCACACAGCTGTATCTAAAAGAAAAATGCAAACACAACTTAACCATACTTTATTTGACTGCATCTTATTCAGACAGCTTGCACATTTCAAATCCCATTAAATCTCTCTCTCCAAAAGGATACGGGACAATAGAAGAAAATTATGCAGCAATATCCAGTCATCAAACAGCAGTCCAAGATTTTGAGATACATGTGATATCTTATAGATACTCAACTCATATCTGACGTCAATATAATTTATGGTTATGTTTTTACAAACCTGAAAGCCCTGTAACATTATAGCACTCATTTAGTGATGTCATGGTGCACTGAAAAGTAACTCTGATGTGCCACCGATCTGCTTTTATCTATGCTCCTGGGAAGCGATGAACTTCATGATTTCTAGACACCATAATAAATATACACATCCAGTCTTACACATGTCAGCCAATACTATAACACAGGGCAAGATAGTTAAAACATGTGACAAACAAATTCCTTTACATAGATTTGTCGAGCAAGTGGGGAGGGTAATTTGGGGAAGAGGCAGAAAATATTAAAACCAATTTCTTAATAGTAATTTTTTTTCTTTTTTTATTTTGCTGGCTTCGACTTTGGAAACTACTGTCTGATTTTTGACCTGTGGACTTCTCTAGAGCAGTTTCATCCTAACATAAGGGAAATATAATTAGCCCACACATCAAAATGGTAGTATACCCGTTAGCTTCTTCAATACTAACATATATAGCTTCATGGTAGCATGTATAAAAATGTTCAGCAGTACCAACTGCCAAACCAGTGTCAGTGGATAGTACAGTCAGTCTTAAAGAGACAGCACCCCATTAAAAGAAAGTTGCACCAATTTTGCTCAGTTTTAGCCAAGTGAACTTACTCTATCAATTTTAAATGGAATTGTTTTAAGATTATATAAGAAAAATGAAAGCCCAATATCAAAAAATAATGTTTGATGTTCCTTCAACTGGAAGGGAGACAATTTTGGTGCTGGGTTATCAAGCTAGAGATTAAAATTTTGCATACCCAATTAAAGACATAAGGTAGACAATGATACTCAACACACTCCAGTTGAACAATACAGTGACCATTTGACTTTTTAGTCACATGGTTAAGGTCATGTTTACAAACACCCAGTAGATTCAGCAAAACTTGGTCAATTCTGGGGGGAAAGGTCAGTAGAGATGGTTTCATTGACAACCTGCCAAAAACATAATGGTTGAACTGCAAATCTAGCACGTATCTACTTTAGAACTGTTCCCATTAGTGAGTCAAGCAAATGCATGTTTATAACAATCATTACCTAGGAACCAGCAAGTCAAATATAAAGTGGTGAAATAAAATTTGATAACACGAATACTGAATTGTTTTATTTAGTTCAGTTCCCTCCATATTAAAAATAACTAAAGCATCACTGATTGGCATTCCTCTAAATGCTAGAGCCCAAATGAAGTTTAACTAAAAATACACTGAATATTGTGTGGTCATCATATTTTTAATGTAACCAGTATTCTGCCCATTAAACTTTCAAGAGCGATATAAAATGAAAAGAAAAAGTTTTCTTTAAAAATAAGAAACTATAAATATAAATGATCCCACCAGCAGGAAGATTTTATTTTCACCAAGTCTGTGTATCTTTATTTTAAAGGTACTTGTTACCATGTTCACTTTCAAGACACTACACTGAGCAAGGAGCAGCTTTCCTTTAAAAAAAAAAAAAAAAAAAAAAAAGGCAACAAACTTTCCTGAAAGGGGGCTTTTACCAACTGTTAATGGAGGTAGGGTTTTTTAAAATACAGTAATTATAGCCATAAAATAAAATTCAAACCAAATCCTAGAAGCAGAAGTAAAGCATATCCAAATTCAAGAAAAAACAACAGATTCCTACAAAACATTTTTCACAGAGAATGAATTTTTTTTTTATGGGTACCTAGGTTTTCCAGTTACATAAATTATCCATCACAGTTTTCCTGACTCAATTGAAAGCAATTAACTTTAAATTTTATTACACTGCACAGATTGGCCAAAAGACAATGTAACTAAGGAACACAGTGACGGCAATTAAGAAAACCCATAGAACTCATTCCAAAAAAAATTTCCATTTCTCCCTTTTGCTTTTCTGGGAACAAAGCAAAGCTCCCCCAAGAATTTGCTCAAATAAGTGAAAAGAAAATAAAATCAGTTTAAAACAGATACAATAAACCTTGAAATTTATTTCCAAGACCAAGAACGAAAAGTGAAACACTTTTAAGAAATGGAAGAAACGTGAATCCAAATCACCTGGGAAAAGAGGTCCAACTACTTTGTAAAAGCTGTTCTTCACAGCTTAGCAATAATTGATTAAATAAAATCATACCAATTTACATTAATTTTCTATCCTTTTCCAAAAATTCCCTCACAAAAAAAAAAAAGTGCATCCAAAACCCAGCAATTCCCGGCTCCATTAACTTTTCTCATCCCTTTTGAGCCATTTCTCAGATTTTCCAAGTAGATTCAACTTCTTACTGTAAGGAAAGAAGGGACTTCTAAAGTAAACCACTCTGCCACTCACCTGGAAAAAGTATCCAAATTATAAAAATCTGAAATAATTTATTATCAAATTTAGAATTTAAATAAAAACAAAAAAGTTTGCTTGCAAAGGCCTTAAAGAAAAGGAAAAGATAGCATGCATTCAAAAACTAGAGATGAAGACAAATATACTTATCTACACAGGCACTGGCAGACGCGATTTAATTATCTTTACTCACTGTAAGACACACCCGACCCTACATAACATTTTATTCATTCACTAATCACTGAGGTACCAATATTCAAGAATGGAAAATTTAATATTGGAAAAATAAAACCTAAAATTGAAGCTTTCTCCCATCCCCTTCAGAAAACTATGGCAGGTTTCACGTGTAATGTTAGTATACTCAGAGAATTTTACAATCTACGTTGGCTTTTTTAAGGAACAAAAATCATGTTCCACTTACTGGTTCTGTGATAAAACAATCACTGTGTAAATAACATTGTCAGCAGACTTTGCAAATAAACAAATCTTGGCTATCAACTGGCACATTTTGTTGGTACCAAAAGAACTCTCTAAGTTTAAAACAATCTCTTTTAATTCAGAACAAATGCGCCATGCCAAAGTGCAACAAATATTGTGCGACACTCAATGAGACACCGACAGATAAGAGCTGCATGGAAATTACTAAATCCACCTGCAAAGCAATTCTGTACAAATTGCATTGCATGCAAAGGTCAATTCTGCGTGGTTGGACAGTTGTTCCTCGATGTCAGTTTCTCAACGCAGCCACAATTTAAGTCGCAGTGCATCAACTCCATTTAAATAGTATCTGAACAGCCTCTTATCTCGAACAAAACCAAGATTTTCATAAAGTTTCAAAGCAGACTTATTGGTTATTTCTGTTTCCAAAACAACCTGCAAAAAATAAGAGAAAACTAAGTTACAACTGTATATATTTGCAAATAAAATTTGACAAATCACTTACAAAATAAACAATTAGATCAAATACTTAAGAAAAATGTCAGATTTAATTGTTTTAAAATTGATGCTGGAAACAATAAATTAATGATGTACAGAAAGAACCCAGAAAAACAGTCATCAAAATTTTAATAGTAATTATCTCTTGGGGCAAGAGGGGGTGGGAACACTGGGGACATTTTCTGTTCTGATTTTTGTGATGTTTGGAATTTTTAGCAATGAGAATATGTTTTACACTAAAATAAAGATGAATTATTTCCTTGTGGAGAAAAGTAGTGTGATAAAAAGATGAAGGAAAAAAAAATCAACAACCAAAGAAAACAAACCAGTACTTAAAACTACTCAGACCGACCTCCAACTCCTATATTTTCATTAATTTGACATCATTTACCGTGGCAACAACTACTATATTTGTCTCGAGTCTAGACCAGAGCCTGCAAACTACAGCCCTTTGGCCAAAAGTGCCTACTGTCTGTTTTCGTAAATAACGTTTTATTTATTTTTTTTTAAAAGATTGGCACCTGAGCTAACAACTGTTGCCAATCTTTTTTTTTTCTTTTTATTCTTCTCCCCAAAGGCCCTCCCCCAGTACATAGTTGCAGATTCTAGTTGTGAGTGCCTCTGAGGGGTTGTGCTATGTGGGACGCTGCCTCAGCATGGCCTGATAGCTGTGCCATGTCTGCACCCAGGATCCGAACCGGCGAAACCCTGGGCCGCCGAAGCAGAACACACGAACTTAACCACTCGGCCACGGGGCTGGCCCCGTAAATAAAGTTTTATTGAAACACAGCCATACTTATTTGCTTACATGGTATCTACAGCTGCTTTCTCAATACAAAAGCCAACTTGAGAGGTTGCAGCAGAGACAAAGCCTGAAATATTTACTATCTGGCCCTTTGCAGAGAAAGTTAGCCAAACCTAGACCAAAGGCACCCAAACTGGAGTGTACCTGGAGGACTTGTTAAAATACATTGCTGAGCCCCACCCCCAAAATTTGAGTAGTTTGGGTGGGGCCCAAGAATCTGCATTTTTAAAATGCCCGGTGATGCTGACGCTACTGGTTGGCAGACTGCATTCTGAGAACCTCTCTCTAGACATTATCGATATCAACACTTAACAGAGGAACACATAAAGTGTTAACTACTATCCGGGTGTTTTTTAATATTACTGAACCAACGGTCCTGACAATGAAGAAATGATACTTTTGAAAACTGATTTTCTTAATTTCTACCTTCCTCTACCAAAACATCCTTTATGCCATCCTCCAACTTTTACATATATAGCTCTATCTGCCCTTCTTCTCAACCTCCCTTATTGAGAATTATCAACACAGTGAGCCACAGTTACTATTGGGATGTCATAGCCCTTAGATGTTTGGAGTGGGAGAAAAAAGGGCAAAGCATAATCAAACAAAGGTCCCAGTGAAGTCTGAGTCTCTTCCTGTTCTCTCTCAAGCTATCAAACAACCTGACAAGAATTCAAGCAACAGATGTAAATAACAAAGACTATACCTCAACTCACGGTATCCAAAATTGAGCTCAGGATCAACTCTTCCTCTATAATTCCATATAACAGTAACAAGATCTCCATCCCACCAATGTCTCCAACTTGAAACCTAGAAGTCATCTTTGAACCTCTTTCCTCTCCACCCCACCTACATACATCCAAGCACTGAGTATTTCAATACTTTCTCTTAAATCTCTCTCAAATGAATCCTCTTCTTTCTATCCCCATTGATATCACTCTAGTCCAAGCTGCCATAAACTTTCATTGTAATTACAAGCAGCTCCTAACTCAAAAGTTCCCATTCTCTATGTTATTAATTCCCTACTTAAAACCATTTATTGACTCTCTTTTTCCCACAAGATAAAGTCCACAATCTAAAGATAATCTAAAGAGACCCAAAACACCCTTCAAGATATGGCCTCTACCTAACTTGCCAACTTGACTTTCGGTCTCCCCCTTTGCTTTCCATGATCAACACTAAGCTTTCAGTTTCTGGAACCCACCATAATCTTTCCCACCTTAGACCTTTCACATAAGTTGCTTTCTGTGCCTGGAAGAATGCTCTCCCTATCCTCCCTGCTTTTGGCCTTAGCTTGTCACTTCCAGACTGGGTGGAGTGTCCCTTTCCTTTCACACTACCCCGCAGCACTCTACACTGCTCCTCATTCACCTATACTCTCATACAATATTTGATGAGTTTGTCATCTCTCCTAGCTGGTGAGTTCAATAAAGGCAAGGATCGATGGGTATCTCCTTCACAGCTCTTTCCTCTACACCTAACACACTACCTGACACACAGAAGGCTCTTACATATTTGTTAATTATATACATCCTAAGCACTTTTTATTATATTACATACATTACATAAATATTAAACAAAAGAATTTTCAAGCTTTTAAATGACCAAAGTACTTAAAGAGAAAGCATCACTTTAAGGCAACTATCTATGCAATTAACTCACAAAACCAAATCACACGCTAAATCCAAACTTTTAAAAGATCTAAAAACAAGTAAATAATAGTTCAGGAACAAAGGAAAATATTCCTAGGAAGGCCTTAAATAAAAGTCAGACAGCAAACAAATTGGTTTAAGATAAGAATAAAAAGTCAACAATTTCTCTTTGCTCTTAAAAAAGTGGAATTTAAATTTTAGTAATGTATGCCATCCTCCAGTCTGGAACACCCAGTCTGGTGACTACAAGATTTCAGTTTTGAACAATTCTCTTGGGTAATTCCTAGAATTCTGTTTTAGGCCAGCACCTAATTACGGCTAAAAGGTTAAATTAAAACAATTCATATAAGAAGCAATAAAGATGCAACAACTCAAAACTTGAAACTGATTTCATAGAAATGAAAAGGTGATGGTTTAAGGAAATAGCTAATATTTACTGAAGGCTTACTAAATGATATGTACATTTTACATGCATTTGTCATTATGTTACTTTCACAGTAACCCTATGAAATAGATATGATTATCTCCAGTCTACAAAGGAATGAAACTGAAGGCCACCAGTAGATGAAGGACAAACCAGGGGCCGGCCCGGTGGCACAGCGGTTAAGTTCCCACGCTCCGCTTCTCAGCAGCCCGGGGTTCGCCAGTTCGGATCCCGGGTGCGGACATGGCACTGTTTGGCATGCCATGCTGTGGTAGGCGTCCCACATATAAAGTAGAGGAAGATGGGCAGGGATGTTAGCTCAGGGCCAGGCTTCCTCAGCAAAAAGAGGAGGACTGGCAGTAGTTAGCTCAGGGCTAATCTTCCTCAAAAAAAAAAAAAAAAAGGACAAACCAGACTCCAAATCTGAACCAGAGCTTAATAGTATCCATTCTTCTTTACCTCCCCAGTCGTTTCCCAGAGTAAAACAAGACAGCAAATGAGAGACCTATCCTACTTACAACATGATAAAGGCAATCTAAGTCCACGTTCATTAATATTTGGCAATCTAAAATATTCAAAACACATCTGAGGAGAACTATGGCTACATAAATACACACTTGCGGTCTGGTAAAGAGTTGGATTCAGGTTTGTTGGCACCCTAACAGATTAATAAAATAAAGCCCAATTACATAGAAAAAAATTACACAAAGGGATAATCTTGGTTAAAATAAAAAGATTTTCTTGGCGCACTCACATTTTCCAAACAAAGAGATCACGTATTCATATTGACACAACAGAAAATGCCAGAAAAAAGTAACTACTTTTTAATACATAATTATTTAAATTCTTAAAGATATATTAAAAGAGAATCTGGGTTTATACTGGAAATTCACTGTAAAACTATTCTTTTAATCCACATCATGGGAGTATTACATAGGAAGCCAAAGGATAATGAGGTTATTTTGGTCCTGAAGAAACTTGGCAAAGTTGAATTCTGCTTAACAGAAAAAAAAGGATTACACTGAAGTTCCACGGATTCTCTTAGCAACAAACCATTGTCAGGATAAGCCAAACCATCACTGTTTAGAAAGCCTTTTCTAATATTGGAGGCTGGAAGCTCCTGGAGGGAGGGCAGGCTTGTTCACTGCTAGAACCCAAGCACTAGTTCATTATCTGACACCTCACAGGCTGTACACTGATACTGCGGAATGACAATTTTATTGCTCTTTATAACATCCCTTTAAGATCAAATTACCATGATATTGGAGAGACAAAGAGATAGACTCTAAAAAGTTAAATGACTTGCCTACAATCACACTACTATACTAAGTGACAGAAGATGGATCTAGAACCCAGGCTTCTCATACCCAGTTCTTTAATTAAGCCAAACTACTCAACCAAATACTCTTACAGCTTAAATAACTTTTTTTTCCTGCTTTATCTCCCCAAATCCCCTCTGTACATAATTGTATATCTTAGTTGTGGGTCCTTCCAGCTGTGGCATGCGAGACGCCACCTCAACGTGGCTTGATGAGTGGTGCCATGTCCGCGCCCAGGATCTGAACCAGTGAAAACCTGGGCTGCCGCAGTGGAGCACGCAAACTTAACCACCGGGCCACGGGCCCAGGTCCTAAATAACTTTATTTTACTGTCTTCTTATCCTTGCACCTGTGTCTCACAGCCAAAATACGTTTCCAGTGAAACTAAAATGTTAAACATAAATTATTAAACACAAAAAGCTTAAAAGTCATCTTGTACATCATGATAAAATGTATGTTACTTTGTTAACATGTTAACAAGCTTACCACTGGTTATCTAAATAAACTAGGCCACTGTTGGTGGGAATGTAAATTGGTACAGCTGCTATGGAAAACAGTATGGAGGTTCCTCAAAAAATTAAAAATAGAAATATCATATGATCCAGCAATCCCACTTCTGGGTATACATCCAAAGGAACTGAAATCAGGATCTCAAAGTGATATCTGCACTCCCATGTTCACTGCAGCATTATTATAATAGTCAAGATATGAAAGCAACTTAATTGTCCACCAACAAATGAATGGATAAAGAAAAAGTGGCATATATACATGACGGGATATTTTTCACCCTTAAAAAAAGAAATCCTGCCATTGTTACAACACATTGGATGAACCTGGAGGACGTTACACTAAGTGAAATACATCAGACATAGACAAACACTGCATGATCTCACTGATATGTGGAAACAAACAGTCAAACTTAGAGAAGCAGAGAGTAGAACTGTGGTTGCCAGGGGTTGAGGGAAGGAGGAAGTAGAAAGATGCTGGTCAACTGAAAATGTGTTAAGGTCACATACTACATACAAATTCCATTAAGAAATTTTGATTCCAGTGTATTTTCATCATATATGAGTTAGTTCTGAGTATTAGTTTTGAGAGTTACTATCATGGTAATCATACCTTAAATCTAAAAAACAAAAAAAAACCTCTGAAATTTAAATTTCCAGAGATGAAGATTTCAAGAACATCTACAGCTTAAACAGTAAAGCACTGTTCATCAAGCTAATCAATCACCTGCCCCCTTCTAATTTATTTCAGAAGAAAGCACAATAAAAGTAAATGGTCACCATGTGGGTTCATTATTTTAGGTACACAAATCCTACTTTAAAAATGACATTTTAGAAAACTTATTCATGCTATTTGTATGTATTTTTCTTACCATTTCTCCTAATGTAAAACAAGAACCCAAGCTGCTCGTCCTGGTAGCCACTACACAGTTTGGCAGCCAGAGCATGCGGGGGCATAACCAAATTCAAGCCAGATCAGCAATATGGGTAATGCATTTCTTATTCATGAAGCAATGAACCCACTTGTTTTGTTTTTTTGAGGCTGTAACTTTTTAGTCAGCTTCAAAAATATAGAAAAGGAAAAAGATCTTGAGCTACGCTGTTTTAACAAGTCTAATTCTGATATAAAAAGTTAAGAAAGTCATAGTAAGGCAAAATAAAAATATCTATTAGACCAGGAGAGTACATCATTATTATATGGGCAAAAACATAATCTACATTTCGACTCTGTGATTACTAACTTTGGTTTAATTTACTCTGAATTTATCTTAAAATGACAAGTGCCAACCAAGAGCAATATAAACATGACTCAAGGTCACAGCTCAATTCTGCAAACAAAAAAGAAAGTAAAAATAGACCGGATGTACATGGTAAGGCTTCACACAGATTTCCAAATGCTTCTCTGTTAATACGTTCATAGATTTAAAATTTTTTCCTTTATAAAAAAAGCAACACAACCAAAATAGTAGAAAATGTAATTTAAAACCCTTCTCAAATGTCTTTCTCACAATTTGCCAAAATTTAACACTTTAAAAGAAAGGAAGGTTGGCTTAACTTAATGAAAGTAAAATAACATTAATTGTTTTATAATTGGTCATTGTATTTTTAGAGAATTATAATTTCAAAGTTTTCCTCAAAACAATGAATTTTATACAAGACTATTTTTACATACAATTTTGTTTTTACCAAAAGGTATTTTAACAACTTAGTTAACCCTACAGATACTTTTTTCTCATCTTACTATGTACAAAAATAACTAAGACAATTGCTATTCCTAGAAAGCTTACAGATCAGAGAGAAAGACAAGCTAACAAAGTTAAAAAATTCCAAAGTGCTTTAAAAAAGAAAAAGAAGGAGAGGCTGGCCCCATGGCCAAGTGGTTACACCCATGCGCTCTGCTTTGGCGGCGCAGGGTTTCCCAGTTCGGATCCTGGGCACTGACATGGCACTGCTCATGAGGTCATGCTCAGGTGACATCCCACATGCCACAACTAGAGGGACCCACAACTAAAAAAATATACAACTATATATTTGGGGGGACTTGGGGAGAAAAAGCAGGAAAAAAAACGAAGAAGATGGCAACAGTTGTTAGCTCAGGTGTCAATCTTTAAAAAGAAAGGAGGAGAAATACAGATAAGATGTTGGAAGCATAGAACTAATCATTCACCAAGTATTTATGAATCATGTACTCTATCACAAATGCCACACTAAGTACTAACAATACAGCAGTTAAACAGGAAAAGGCATCTCTGCTCTCCTTAATAGCTAAGGCACAGACTCTGAAGAAGCAAATTTAAGCAAAGTATTACAAAAAGGGAAGTCAAGAAAACCACAGAAGGTGCGACTGCTTCTGTCCAGAAGGGTTAAGGAAAACTTAAAGGAGTTGCTGATATTTGAATTGAGTCTTAAAGACTGAGGAGTATTTTAGTAAGCAGAGGAGGACCAAGAGGCTACCAAGTCTAGCAAATACATCAGTGAGAAAGCAGTTACACTGAGTTGGCAGGGGGGGGGGGGGCGGGGAAGAAACCAAACTAAATGGGATGAAACAGTAATATAAGGAAGTGGAACCAACAAACACACTACTATCAAAAATTAGAAGGGAAAAGGGAATAGAAGAGTTTGTTGCTTATATGGTTTAGAACTCAATGAAAGGGAGAGTGAAAGCCTTATGAAGAAAACAAGAGTTCTCTGTCTCTTCATACAGCAAATCCTTTATCTGAACAATGTGGGACACAGATAACTTAAACCACGGAAGAGTTCTCTAATCCAGAGGCAGAGCTATCCAAATTGCAAAAACTATCCATTTAAAACTGTACAACAGGAATAAGTTCATGGAACTACCCCCATTTCAGCCTAAGATTTAGTAACATTCACTGCTTCAAAATTAAGAAAAATGAATCAGAATTAGATTTTTAGGCCCACAATGAAAAAAGCATTTCTACCATAAAATGTATCACTAATTTGAAACTAAAACAATATAACCAAAATCTCCATATCATCCCTCAGAACTTTCAAAGAAAAACCAACACTATTTAAACATTTGACCAGTTAAGGTAAAGGACACAGCCTGTCTCCTAGGTAGCAACTACAGTAACTCAGAAAAGGCTTAATCCTAAGAAACATGACACTCCCTGCTCTTAACACCCCTGTTCACTGGGAACCACCCTACTCACTAGCAGGAGAGGATCAAAACATGGTCTTACCATCCCAAAGATTTCCCTAAACTGTCAAGCAACTTTTGCTAAGCCTGACTTCCCTCTTGATTAGCTGACTAAGCCAATGTGGGTATGGACCAAACATAAAGACTTATACTCAAGAATGCATGCAGTACAATTCTATTCTACAAATTTTAGTTATCAGCCATGTAAATGATCAGGGTCATTGCACCTTTTACTTTTTGATATTACAAGCTGTGAACAATATGACATCCCTCACCATGTGTGAATTATTTTATTTGGAGTAAAATTAAATATCCTTAAATCCCAGGCTGACTTCTCTGTGCTGCCCAGTATGTCTGTAGGCCTTCTCATACAACCACCATTTAGTATGATCTGTCAGAATACAAATAACATGAACATGGAACGTGAGAATACTCTGCGGTAAATCTCTGTATTCCGACATGGAAATGTGTTCATGAGATAGTTAAATGGCAAGAATAATCATTGCAGAATAATAATTATGATTTCATTTGTATAAAAAAATATTACACATTTGCACACAGGTGTGCTTAGAAAATGGGAGGATGCATATCGAAAGATTAATAGTAGCTATAAGCGGAAAGAAGGATGAAGAGTTGAAGAGCGTGAGGACACGAAAGAAGGGACTTTGTATCCCAAAATACACACATACACGATGGTTAATGATAGTGTATAAATTGTGTACCAAAAAACCCGACTTTTGAAAAAAGTAACCAAAACAAGTTACTTACTGTTGTCAATCTGCTGAGGAAAAAATTACCTAATTTCACTTATTTTGAGAACTCTCTAAGGCACATTTGCCCTCCAACAATAAAGACAACTGTCACTCATACTGCTCACAAAATTACTAGCACAACTTTGCTCCTCCTTAGTCCCACGGCTATATTAAAGACATCTATACTTCCCTGGTTCATACTTATTCCCTTCCACAGTACACAGTAGTAAATCTTAACAATCTCAACCATCACCCCTGTTTATTGAGCACCTATCATGTGTAAAACACAGTGCTGTAGGATACGAAGAAATTATACCTGCCCGTCAGGCCTTACCAAAAAGCTAAAAAGAGAAGCTGCTGTTAGGTAAATCTACAGATAGCTCTACATATAAAAAGTCATTGTCTTCTTTCCCCCAAGCCTTATCATTATTTAATGCTGAGAGATTTTTTTCAAGTGTGAAATGTCCTTCATCTGGGCTGACAGTTGGCCCATAGTAAAAAAAAAAAAAAAAGAAAAAGTTATTTAGAGAGAAACTAAGGCTAATATGCAAGTAAATTACAATAAGGTTTGTAATAAGAGCTACCTTAAATGACTTAACTGATAACAAATCCTCTGAATACCAATTTACTGAAAATGTCTAAGAATTCACCTTTACATTTTGTCACAGAACAAATTTTAGCTTCCATTATCATCTTAAAACTTGTTCTGCGTCAAAATTCAGGTGTTTTTAAATGGTATATAATTTTCACTACAACCTGCATTTGTATAAAAATGGTCTTCAATGAAATATGCAGTACAATTTATTACGGGATATTTATAAAAATACCCAGGAAACTACTCAGGACAAAAGGTCTCAAACATTTAGAAAAACTTACCTCATCACAGTCTCCTTCAACCATGGCATAGATAGCTTTCTTAACCAAGTTAGTACCTAGAATATAGAACTGAGTATTAATGAAGGAAAAATGTGATTAGTTTCTTAAAAATACCTAAATTATGATATTCATAACAAGCATAGAAATGTCAAATGCTGGGTTCTACCTTGAATGCAGACAAATTATCTCAAATTAAATGAGAAAAAATTTAGATTATAACTGAGAGGCCAACAGAACCGACACATAGCAATATAAGATTCCTCTTGAAGGACCTACCTCCTGACATATCCCTTTTCCTCAGGTGCAATTATTTGCTCCAGAACAAGGCAAGCTATGGTATGGTCTGAGCAACCCAGGAATTCCTTGAGCTGGCCAGCACTCACTGCGTGACTCTTGAGCCAATCTTGCCAAAGATCACACCAGAACTGCTGTGACCCAGAGTGGGCTCAAGCTACTGGGTGGGTTCCGACAAACCCTATAGTGAGCTTGGGCACACGAAAGTCTGGCACTCCCAAATGATGTCAGTGGTGTGTCTGTAAATGTCTAGAAAAACGTATCCTAGTTTAGGGTCAGACATATTTGGTATATCAAAGGGAAAACAACTGTCAAATCTGATTTGAAGAGAAGAAAGAATCCAAATTTTTCTAAGAAATCTCTTAATTTTCAAACCATGAACACAACCAAGCACGAATTACATGGGTCAAAGTACGCCTGAGGGCCAGGATGCAACCCTCAAGCCACTGGTTTCTGCCCTCTAAACTAGCCAGACAACTGCCTATCACTTGCCCTAAGTCCTTATCAACTCTTTTTAATCCAAAGACTCAAACTTGGCTTATATAACAAGCCCGATTCATTAAAAATCTCAGTGGTAAACTATAACACTCTAAGAAAAGTTGGTTAAACCTAATGTATTAAATAAACCTATCCATAATGATTTCTTATGACATCTCAGATTGTATCAAACAGTCTTAAATTGGACAAGAACAAAGTTAAAAAAAAAACAAAACTGCTAGTAATTAAATCCTGGTACAGGCATCAAATCTTCTTTCATGAGTAGTTCCTTAGCTTCAGTATATCCCAGAATTTGACATGCTCAGACAAGTGATTGCCTACCTGATCCTCCATCTTGAACAAATCGCCAGGAGGTCCTAGACACTGGCATAGTGGTTTTTAACCAGGCTTACATTACAGTCACCTGGGGAAGCTTCAGCCCTACTTCTAACAGGACAAACAAGATTCTTAGGGGTAGGAGCCTGCACATTTGCTTTTAAACCATTCGGATGATTCTATAACCATTATAAACCACGAGTATAAGAGTAACAGAAAATAAAAGGAAGACCCAGGAAAGAGAAGAGTCTGGGAATAGTAAATAACAATTCTACTTTCTCCTGGTACTCCCTGAAATGCTAATAATGTTTGATGACTAGTACTAAATAATAGTAACAATTTCTCCATAATTTTGCCTTGATTGAGGTCCACTTAACCCAAGTATAGACAGCTGCATGAGGGCTGTGACGAACTGCCCTAACAATGCTACTAAAAACTGCAGTAGGGGCCGGCCCCGCGGCCAAGTGGTTAGGTTCGCGCGCTCCGCTTCGGTGGCCCAGCGTTTCGCTGGTTTGGATCCTGGGTGCGGACATGGCACCACTTGTTGGGCCATGCTGGGGTGGCGTCCCACATGGCACCACCAGAGGCACTAACAACTAGAATATACGGCTATGTGCTGGGGGGCTTTGGGGAGAAGAAAAAAAAACATTGGCAACAGTTGTTAGCTCAGGTGCCAATCTTCAGGAAAAAAGAAAACTGCAATACTTACTATAATGGAAAGCATTTTAAATTTGATTAAAAAAATGCTTGGAAGTGAAAACTATCACCTGCTACTTGTTAGAAAGATAATCTCTCAAACAAACTAATAATGAAAACAATTCACCTTGAAAACACTTTGAAAGTACTTTGAAATAAGAACAATTTTCTTCCTTAGCTTCATGCTCATTTCTACGTATTTATATTTAAGTCTTTTGTTTCAAAAAACAAAAATGAAAACAACTCATGCATTCTTTTAGTGACATAATATTTTCCTTACCAATGCCATTTCTCCTGTATTTGGAATCCACAGCTAACATGGCTATATAACCTCTGCGGAACATCTTTTTGTGCATATCCAACTTGCAAACGATGGCACCTACACACTCCTCCCCTACCATGGCCTTGAAAATAAACAAACAGTTATGAAGAACAACGTTGCCAGCAGGTCCTGCACAATTACCCAGGGAAACAGCAACCAACAACTGGTCAGCATTTTTGAGGGAGGAAGAGATAATAATGAGACTTCTAGTAAGAGGGCAATCATGGAAGTTTCAGAAATCTAAATCCCACAAATCCTTCAAATGTTCTAGTTTTAAAATCGTCAACATTCCTGAAGACATGAATTTCTCATGCTTATTATCAAAGTCTAGGGGGAAAAAAAGCAAGATTTCCACAAGGTAAACATTCAACTGCTTAATAAGAGGTGCTGATAATTAATTGCAATAAAGACCTACGTGTTTAAGATTTGGGAAGGGTGAAAATATTTTTCTTAAGAAAAAGCCTATTCATGAGGATATGATAAAATTTTGTGAAACCTGCTTATCAACAGAGTACCATAAACTTAAATTTAATAATAAAGTTTTAGTGAAAGACAGATATGACATAATATTTATACCTAAACAGTAGAGTTAGACTTTTCAGGTGGGAAAAAAAAAAAATGTTTCTAAGCTATTCCTTAGATCCTATCCAAGGGGGTTTTGTTACTGAAGGCCTACAAAGACTAGATATATGATGGTATCATTTTTAGGACACTCCTGAGAATGTGAATTACTGTCATAAAGCTCACAGAATATCTAGAACTCAAAGTCAGAACTTCATATTAAAACAAAAGCTTTAATATGACTTTACAGAGCTATTTTAATAAAAATGTACAGCTTTCCAGAGTGTTAAAGGTTACATGTTAAATAAATGCTAATCATCTGCCATTTTCATTAAGATTTCCAGTGTTGCCACTGAAAATGTTTTTAAAAATTCCATCACTGACAAAAAGTTCTAGTATTCTGGTAAATATAAATAGGGCAATAGCTCCAACTGTTTAATAACGAGTCAGCCAGAAATATTTGTTTGCTGTTAAGAGTCCTCATTAAAAAAAAGACGAATACTTCAAATTATCTTTTAATAAAATTAACTTTTCAGAAGAAACTATTTCAACAACAAAAAGTAGGAATGGGTTAAAAAAGAAGGAAAACCCAATTTGTATTTACTACCTACTTTAACTTGAATTTGTTGTGACTTTCTTTAGTTCATCATTCTGTAAGTTGATTAAAAGGTCTTTAACTGTGGAGAAATCTTTTAGGCAAGATAATTCTAATCCACTTCACACAAACTTAAACTAGGCCAGAAAAATCCTTTTGAAGGGATATTAAATTCAACAATCCACACTACTTCATTTCTGTTTTATCACACAATCCAAAACTATTTGGGGCCAATAAACATCTAAAACTGTTATTTCCATTTCCATTCACAAATAAATCTGGTTCTTTCAAAATTCTTTTCAAAACGAAAATTTCTTTCTGTATTAAGACCTGAAATATACACAAAAGTTGCCTGGCTGAACAATTCAGTTTTTTCTGATTTGAAAATAACTCACTTCAAATGTATGTGTGTGGTTGTGTTGTGTGTGTACACCACCAAATGGTACATTAAAAAATTTCTGACCTGACCACATAAGCCAGGGGAAATGGCTATCCATATAAATCTGACACAAAACTGTAGGACCACTACACCTCATAGCTAATAAACCACCCAAAAGAAAAAATTAAAACCACTAGACACCATACAACTGGACAATATTTTCAAATTGGATAGGAATTTCAAACAAATCTTCTTTGTCCTTTGATCAAGAAAGTAATAAGCAAAGTATTATATTAGTTCACTCTTGGACCATACTGATTTCTTCCTAATTAAGGATCTGTAGGAGCAAAAATCAAGTTCTATCCATCACTTAAAAATAAAAGCCCAATACAAGATACAGTTTAATAAATAAAACGTTGGTAGTGAGGAAGGCCAATGCTATATTTTTTCCCAATAAACTGCTGATGATATACACTTACAAGAATCACTAAACTGCCTGTCAATTTTTCCAAATAAAAGCTTCTGCACATACATTTGTAACTCATGATATTAAATATGTTCTTTTTCAGAGATGTGAACTGAAGAATTCCCGGCAAGATCAAGATTTAACACTACAAAGCCAACTGCTTGTCAATCTATATAACTTGAAAAATATAAATTGTATGAAATACAGATTCCCAAATTCCAGAACACTACAAATACAAAAACAGCGGAAGCAGGAAAGTTAAATTTAGAATAAACGGAAGTACTATAGTACATCAATAGTAAGTTGAAGAAGTTCAAAAAGGCACCAACAACTGAAAATACCATGAACTCAAGAGGCAGAGACAAATTAGTTAAGTACAGAGTAACTGATAGCTCCTCCCATTTGTATAGTACTGTTACAATTATTAGGAAGAGTCATAAGAAACTGTCACTTTTGTTAGTCAAATGTGGTCAAGTACTGGCAATTTTCTAAGGTTCAACCTCATATTCCATTTGATCTATTACAGGTTACTCATGGAAACCAGAAACATTCTGGAGGTTTCTAATCTCTTGAGATTGATATTTGTACGGACAAGTGTCCCTTGGCGAAGCATAATCTGGTGATGCAACGATCTTTGCCGAATGGGTCAAGGGTATGTCATTTTCCAGATTCGTGTTTCCATGATGAGAGGCCAGGAGACCTGGGTTCAAACTTTACCACTCTGCCACTAAATGTCTAGAGATTTAAACATTTTAAGTCACTCTGGTCCTTAATTTTTTTTCATTAAAAAAAAATAAAGTTGAGCTACATTACCTTTAGGATCCTTTACAGTTCTAAAACGATGTGATTTAAAATAAACATACACACTTATATTTCTTTTAAATTAGTTCTTATGGGAAATTCAAATTTTTAAAAAGCCAATAGAAAGGCCCCAGTTCTAAACGGCCTCTGGTTGTTTAACTGTTGTTTTACGCTCAATACCTCCAGATTCATACTTGCACTAGTAAATCTTACAGGTCAACCACTTGTACATATTCAGTGTATAGATATTCAGAATTTAATAGTAAACTGGCCATTAAGGGCTAAAGTACAAATTAGCTGATGAATTTGGAGGAGTCTATGTAAAACCAAAACTAAAGTTTACTAACAAGTTTAGCAGAGTCTAAATTGGTAGACAAGGTGAGAGGCCTAGGTAAAATCACAACTCAAAAGCTGACTAAATATCATATATACACACTATTTTCTGAAATTAACAGAAATATATGTATATACTATTTCAATTTAAAGTGTGACTCAATTGTATGCTTTGTGGGTTAACTTACAACTAAATCAATCTACAACTTTTAGCAATTACAGTGGCATTTGATATGACATTTATAAGTACTATAAAATCATTGACATAGACATGACTCAGAACTTCGTTTTGATACAATGATTAGAATCCTGTAAGAGCAGTTTTGTAGAATATAAAATAGTTCCTACAGTTTAAACCAACATACCAAATAGAAGTTTAGCAAAGTAAACAGAAAAATAACAACTATCATTATCAACAATACTGATGTTCTATTTTCAAATTACCGCCAAACTATGAAATCAAAAAGACAGGTTTCTAAAGTATTGTCAAAATGTCTTACAGGGAATTACTAAATGCAACCAAATGAATGCTAAAACAATAAAAAATGGTAGTGGCTTTTGCTTCACATATCATGAAATACTCCTTAAAAGCACACTGCCTTTCTTCAGTAGAAAGTAGAAATGACGTGCGTGTGAGGATGCGATGCGAAGCACACACCTGTAGTCACTATTAAGTGAAAGGTTTCAGCCGGACTGAAATTGATGAATATTACTGGGAAGTAACTATTGGTAATGCTACTAGTATGTAAATTTTAAAAAATCATTCAGTTTGTTTGGTAGTCAAGTCTTTCCTGCTTGCACATAAGTCAAAAATTTTTGTGAATTATGCTTCACACAAGCCAGTGTTACCACTAGTATTTAGGCATATCCATGAGCAGTTTCTCAAAAAAAAAGACCAGGAACAATTTCACACTTAGTTTCCTACATTCCACAAAAGGGTATTTTGTTCAAGTTTCAGAAGTCTCAGCCACCAGAAGTGTTAGTAGCGCCTTCTGCAATGGAGCACCAGAAAGCAGGCTGGCTACAACTGTTAATCGTCCTGTTGAAGTAAAAGGAAACAATCTCCGCAATTACGGCATGTGTTTGTAAGATCTGATTCTCCAACGTGGCCACGGCAAGTCTACTGACAATCACGTTCACCAAAACATGTTCATGCATACACTCTTCCCTGATTATGTCTGTAATTGAGAGATTAATAAGGCCTGTATCCGAACAGAACCATGTTCAAATTAAATGAATGCAAAGCGCTTTGAGGATGAGGGAGGGTAATTAAAGACGGTTAAACATGATTATAACTTAATGTAAACAGGACACAAGACCCCCAACACGATATCGTACAGGCTTGTTGCATTTACATCAGTATCACGTCAACCCGGATCGTGAGGCTTACCTTCAAAACAGTTTCCCGCAAGAACTAGGAGTGGGAACACGCACTTTACAGCATAAGGTACTACGAAATGCAGGAAGCATCCACTGCCACTCAGCCCTCACACTCCCTGCCCTGCACGGCCTGGATCTCGGCTGGGTTCACCCTCTTTCCATTCCATCCACTTACCAAGAAGCACAGCTGTGGCCAGTTGTGGATAAAATATCTATAGGTATAAATGGAGTAGGGTTCAGACAGATCTTTGGTGATCAGTCTCATGATATCGGGCATTTGCAGCTCGGATTCATATCGGACATAGCGTATCGTCCGATCCTCCCCAGGCTCCACCTCCCGGCCTGAGGGGCTTCTCAAACTGCAGCCGGCGGCCAGGGACGCAGCCAGCAGCCGCACCTGCCCGCCGTCGTCCTGCTCCCGCTCGGCGCCCCCCGCCAGTCCGTTGCGGGCCGCCGCGGGGCCGCTCGCCGCCGCCTCGGCCGGGACAGGCAGCGCAGTCCGTGCGCGGCCGGGGAGGCAGCGCGGGGGGCTCTCGCCGGAGCGCACGCCGGGCCCCGGGGTGGCAGTCGCTCTGGGGCCGCCGGCGGCCGCCGCCTCCGCGGCGCTCAGAACCTTGCTCTTGAGGGAGGCGGCCGCCCGGAGGTGCCGCAGTTCGGGGCCGATCAAGCCGTTGAGCTGCTGCTGCTCCTGCGGCGGCGCCGGGCAGCGGAGGCACGGGCGCCGCGGGGCCGCCGCCTCGCCGCCTTCGTGCTCCTCGTCGTCCTCCTCGTCCTCGCTGCAGCAGGCGAGGACGGCCCCCGCCGGGAAGGGGCAGCGGGGCTCGGCCGCCGCCGAGGCCGGCGGTGCGGGCGGTGGGAGGAGGCTGCTAGGCCCAGGCGGTACCTCCGCCATCCTGGAGGCGACACAGACCGAGAGGGGAGGCCATGAGAGCCGGCCGGCGAGCGCGGCGCCGGGGGCGGCGGGGCGCCGCGGGGGGAACAAAGGCAGAAACCGCCCCCCGGCGGCCCCCGGTTCCGCGCCCCCAGCTCGCCAGCGCCGCCCCGCCGCCCGCCGGCCACCGTCCCCGTCCGCCCGCGCCCAGCCGCCAGCCCTGTCACCCGCGGCCCCTCCTCGTCCCCTCCGCGCGCCTCACCCCGCACAGGTCCCCGCCGCCACTGCCGCCACTCCTCTTCCCCCTCAGCCGCCGCCGCCGCCTCCACCGCCGCTGAGCCTCTCACTCCGCCGCCGTCGCCGTAAAGCGCCTCGGCTGTTACCCCGGGTAAAGTTTCCTGGGCCGGGCTTTACGACACTTCCCTGCCTGCCGGCTGCCGGCCGAGGGAAAGGGGCGTGGAGGGAGGTGACCTGAGCAGGGGCGGGGACGGAGGTGTCCCCAGCGGGCTTGGGGGCGGCCGCGTGCTAACGGGTGGGGCTGCGGGGCCGTGAAGTTGGGGAGGGCTTTGCAGTGGCCCGCTCCCACCGCGCTCCGGTCGGCTCTGGGGTGCTCAGCCCGCCGAGCTGGCCGGGGCGGCCCGGTGCTCCAAGCCCGCCCGCCTGTCGGGCCTGCTGACCCGGCCGCAGCCAAGCCTTCGAAAACGCTTTTCCTCCGCTGTGCGACGTTTAACTTTTGCCTGCCCTGACGGGGGCGGGGGGCGGTTACCCGAGTCCCTTAAAAATGGAGCCAATCAGGGAGAAAATCGAAAAGGAGAGGTCGTGAAAAGCTTTGAGCTGTGAAAATATGGGAATGGCTGTTGAAACCTGGTCGTTTGCCACGTGGATTAAGTTTAGTCTTTGCCCCTTTGAGGCGGGAGAAGGTGGACAGGTGGTCCTCTTCCTCCCTCTTTAGCCCCTCCACCCCGCCCAGGAAGAGTGCAGGTAAATGTGATTAACAGGTGCTGAGCAGCTGCAAGCACCCCTGGGGAAGAGTTGGAGGGAGATGGTGGAGGAGAGTGAGCGCAACTAAGAAGCACAGTCCTCGACTGGTGACAGGAATTGGGACTGGGTGGGAAGCGCCGGTGAGGAGGCATCTGGCCCCCGCCCCCGGTGCGCCGAGCGGGCGGCTTGGGCGGAGCGGAGGCAGGGCCGGCGCGCGGCTGCGTGGGGCTCCGCCCTTTGCGCTCGGGGCCGCGGCTGATGGTTTTTCGGTGTATCTATTCCAAGAGAGAAGCTGACGGTGCAACTCACCAGCACACAGAGCACATTAAGTTTTCAAAATCCGGTTGTAGCGCTGCTCAGGTGTGCAGCAGAGGGACATTTTCAGGGATATAATTCTGTGACTGATTATGTTTGCAACTTTTTGCCGTAATCTAAACTCTGTAAAAAGTGGGATACGCTGTAGCATAGCTGTTAGATACAATTGTTAGGGTACAAGATGTTAAGGTAAAACCTGTCACCTTCCGTCTAGAAGTTCAACCTATAGTGATAAAAATAATAATAATAAAATGTGTTACTATGTGCCAGGCACAGACTGTCCTAAGTATCTTACATGTATTTATTAACTCATTTATAGGTTTTTATAGAAATACACTTGTACACAAATAGACATATAGAAGCTTATTTATTTCAGCTTTGTCTATAATAGGAAAAAATAATTCGAAGCCACCAAAGTATCTATCAATACAGGAATAACTGAATGCATTTATGATACACAAATACTATAAAATATTACTGTTAATTATGTTACTGTTTAAAAGATTAAAATAGATATATTGGTACTCTTCCAGTCGCTATGGCTGCATTGCAAGTTACCACCACAACATCGTAGTATAAAACAACCATTTATTATGCTCCTGGATTCTGTGGGTCAGGAATTCAGGCAGCGCATAGCAGGGATGATTTTTCTCTGCTCCGTGATGCGTGGGGCCTCAGCTGGAAGACTCAAAGGCTGTAGGTTGGAATCATCTGAAAACTTTTCCCTCCCGGGTTGGTAGTTGATGCTGACTGGAGGGTGCAGGCTGGATTTTATGTAGACCTCTCCATGTGGTCTCTTAGTATGGAGTGATTTGGGCTTCCTCACAGCATGATGGCTAGGCTCCAAGGGCGAGTATCCCAAGAGAAAGACAGCCAGGCAGAAGCATGTCATCTTTTATGACCTAGCCTTAGGCCATATATTGTCAGTTCTGCTGCATTCTATTTATTCAGGCCATTACAAAGTCTCATCTAGGTTCAGGGGGAAGGAAAATAGACCCTATCTCTTAATGGGGAGATGCAGGGTTCTCAAAAAGCAGGTGGGACCAGAAATATTGCTGTGGTCATTTTTGGAAAATACAAGTTGCCACAGGTGCATACATTGAAAGACCTCCTAAACACCTTAAGGGGGAAGAAGAGACGAGAAGTATAATAAGTATAATGTGATCCTGTTTATGGTTTTTAAAAAGTACAAAACAAAAGCATATTTCCAAATGTACATACATTCTTTAAAAATACATGTATTTTTCAAGTGACATAGTTTGTAACCTAGGTGTTCAGCCAAAGAAACAATGATCTGTTCAAGTTATGCAAGATGAACTGGCCAAAATGGCCCCACACAATTCCCGAAGACATATTTAAGTGCAATTTTTACTTAGAAGAATGTCTATCACTCATGAACTGTGGAATATAACCATTCCCTAAAAAAGATGTGACTCCATTGTAATGAATGAGCGGCAGCAAGTCTTCACGTTCTTTACATGTCATAACTTGGCATTGAGCTTTCTCACGCTGAGGGGCTTGACGATACTGACTTGATGTTGTCTCAAAGTTATTTTCAGAAAGGTGAGAGTTGTAAAGACCTCCTTGAGGTCAGGAACTGAGTCTTACTCACTTTGTATTCACCTAACACACCAAAGGGGACTGAAGTGTTTTGCCTGAGTTATGCTGTTCTCTCATTCAGCAGTCTAGGATGTTTATAATTACAAAGCAAATCCTGGCCTCCTTGCTGAGTAATAAGCTGATGAGATTTCTGAAATCTAGGGGGCCGGCCGCTTGGCCCAGTGGTTAAGTTCTCTCAATTCACTTCAGCGGCCCAGAGTTTCACTGGCTGGGATCCTGGGTGCAGACCTAGCACACTCATCATCAGGCCGTGCTGAGGCGGCGTCCCACATAGGTCAACTAGAAAGACCTGCCACTAGAATATACAACTATGTACTGGGGGGATTTGGGGAGAAGAAAAAAAAAGAGGAAAATTGGCAACGGATGTTAGCTCACAGCCAATCTTTGAAAAGAGGAAAAAGAAAAAGATTTCCAATATCTAAGTTCCAGTGACTCCACTTTATACCCCAGTATTAAAATCCCAATGACAACCTTCAAAGTCAGATGACTTCTCTAAGAAATCTATCTTTATACTTATGAACTCTTTTCTTTTTGTTCATGTTTTTGAGTTATATGCTGATAATACGGTAGCATTATTTTAGGCATAGAAATAGGATTAGTTCCCTCCAGTGCTTTGGGCACATTTGCCTATAATGAGAGTCTGTCTTCCTGAGCAATGTCCTCATAGGGAGGAGAGTCTCAGAGAAGGGGAGGGCGACCAGTGGTACTCTTCTATCTGGATCATTGGTGTTTTCACTGCTTTGTAATGTCCTACGATGCAATCGTCACTTTTTTACTATTGTCTTTGTTCTCTTTTGAACAACCGAAGGACACACCTTAATTTTTTTCAGAAGGCTGAAAGATCCTCATTAAATCCATTAAAATAACCAAGAGCAATTTCAAAACAATATCCTAACACAACTTCCTGGAGTTAGCTTAGAAGGGGAAAAGTTCCTTCCTAATTCTTTCTAACATCTAGACATTTTTCTCTTATTGGCTAAGCGTAGAGCGGAAACCTAGCTGTGTACCTATCTGAAAGGTGACTGTAGGAATGAAGACATTAATAACGGAGATGCTTTAAATTCCCTTGACTCAGCAGGATGACGTGTTATGTACCATAGGCACACATACTGAATAATTTAAGTATTTGTGTAGTTTTATTTTACATGCCATGTGGTTCTTAATCCTACTAATCCTATCTGTTATACATAAAGGCATGAATATGAGTGTTCTTAACTTTGTTTTATCCTAGATGAAAAAAAGGGCATACATGACATATGAGGACTATCGAATTTAATCAAAGGATCAATATTAGTATGTTGCTTTACCACCTGTGATCCTGGAACACTGTGAGATTCCAAGGTAAAGTGCTTTAGTCAACAATTTGATTCTTCCCTTTGAATTCGGGGGGTGACAGTCTGCTCTTTAGCCCTCTTTCCCTTTGAGAACAGTGGTTGGCAGGCCCAGTTGTAGGCACAGATTTTGTCTGTAGAACTGAGGCTTCAGGGTAGTATGAAGAACCAGAGAGAGCAATGGTCAAATGGTCCCTCTTTCCATTACTTTTAACCTCATACTAACTTTTCATAACCTGCCCACAGACATGGACAGGCTGATTCTCATATCTCCACCTGAGCTGGTAAGAGGTGCTGGGGAAAATCATTTATTCCTCCATATTAAAGTCATTGAAAATTCTTGGTCTCCAATTTAGCTAGGCCTTCAGCTGTCAGCACTCTATAACTGTTTTACCTATCTTCCAGGCTAGCTTCATCTGCCAGTGACTATCCCTGGCCGCTGCTTGCTTCATACTGTCCTTCTAAGCAGATGACCTGCCTCCATTTCACTAAGAAAAGTGAGCTATCCATAGGTGCATTCCCGTAGCTTCCACCCCCCTTGCCCATAAATGCATCTGTAGCTGAACTTACCCTTCCCTCCTTCCCCGCAGTCTTAGAGGGTGGGAGATGGCCCAACTCTTCAAGACTAATGCCTGCCTCCACCCATGAACTTGATTCCATCTCTTTCAGTCTCTTTTGGGACCTGACCCATCATTGTTTCTCTCTCCTGAATCTTCAGCAGTACCTTTGCTAGCTACTGCCTCAATGTGCTCCATCTGGAGACTTCTGCTACCATCCTTTCTCCCAATCCTTTCATCGCAGTTAAACTGCTAATCTGCAATAGGTAGCCACTCTCTCCTCTCAGGTGCAAGTTTGCTTTTCACCCAGTTGGTTGCCTTCTACCTCAGCCCTTCCACAAACACCTCGTCGTCGGCAAAAGACACCCATTGTGTCCCAAATGCTAGACCCAGTAGGTTCCTTTCAGCTCTAATGTCACTTTATTCCTCCCTAGCATTTGATCCTGCTATGCTCTTCCAGAAACTCTTCCCGTGGCTTCTGTCATACCACTCTCCTTGGCCCTCCTTCTCTGAACATTCCTTCTCAGGTTTTCTTGATCACAGTAGTCTATAATCATAGTAGTAGCCAGCAATTACTGTGGGTCTACCATGTGTTAAGTTTGTTATAAGCAGTA